AATTTATTTTAAGGACGGCCTTTACTTAACCCTTAAATGTATAGTATAGCCAATTTGTCTTCTCTCTCTCATTCCAGTGTTTCCCTTAATTTTATTCAAAAACAGGAGTGTGTGCATTTCCGAGCGCACGTTGATAACAATGCACAATAAATCATATGTGAAGGAAAAAGACATTATTTTTGTGTGGTACGTAAGTTATATTTTTGCCTTTTGAAATGTGGTGGGAATTTTAGTGTGTTATCTAAACATATAAATAAAAATGAAGTGTCTGTTTATAATTTGAAATTAACAGCTTTTTACTAAATGCATTTAAAAGTATATACGGTACTTATATGAAAAAATCAATTTTTAAAATTTTTGTCTGTCTTTCTGTCAGTCTGTTTGTTCCGGCTAATCTTTGAAACGGCTGGATCAATTTCGACGAAACTTTCACTGGCAGATAGCTAATGTTATAAGGAATAATTCAGGCTACTTTTATTATAAAAAAGTTAGGGTTCCGCGAAAATAAAATTAAAACCAATGAAATGGTGAACAATATCCGTTTCTAATAGGGATTGTTTTTTTCAATAGGGATTATTTTTATTCAATAGGGATTGTTTTATTTTGTGAGCCTTCTGTCTCAACGTTTCCAGCAGTTATATGAAACTTTTTTGTTTGATAAGGTTACTGAGACTCGCGATATTTCTCGTTCATGTCCGGTCCTAATGATTTCAACAGTCTTCACTTACCCCTTGCTTGCGGCTTCGTTTCACCATACCCAGTCCTCACTCCATCGACAGTGTCAAAGGTCACGAGTTCCTCTCCCCCTGCTTGCAGATTCGTTTCACCCTACTGTTACTAAGACCTGTTTTAAACTGTTGCATCATTCCAATGATTTCATTCTCTCTCAAATACACTGAGCAACATCAATTTTTCTATAACTTAGACAGCATTTAAACTTAAATCAGGAAGTTTTGGGGTTTTACGTTATTTGACTTCTCACAAGGCTCCGCATTTAAATAGAGGTAAGCCAATTTCATACCTCTATTGTTTATTTCATTGCCAAACACTGCACAAAGCAATCACAATAAATGTTTGTCTTGCAAGAGTGATTGTACAAGTTTGAGTGTGCGGTGGTGGTGGCGATCGCAGAGCCAACAGGTTGTTTTATTTAATTAAGTACGTAGATAGTTGTTTCTAAAATAAATATTTTTAATTACGTTTTAGGTGAAAAAGTGCACTTAAACCCTTAAATTAAGTAAGTTTATTCAAAATTGTAAATAACTTCATTTAACCTGCGCAATATCTACACATATAAATAAAAATGAAGTGTCTGTATGTAATTTGAAATTAACAGCTTTTTAATAAATGCATTTAAAAGTATATACGGTACTTATATGAAAAAATCAATTTTTAAAATTTTTGTCTTTCTGTCTATTTGTTTCGGCTAATCTCTGAAACAGCTGCACTAATTTTGATGGAACTTTCACTGGAAGATGTTATAAGGAGTAACTTAGGCTACTTTTATTTAAAAAAATAAATTAGGGTTCTGCGGAAATAAAATTAAAACCAATGAACAATATCCGATTCAAATAGAGATTATTTTTATTCAACAGGGATTATTTTGTTTCGCGAGCCTTCTGTCTCAACGATTTCTAGCAGTTATATTAAACCTTTTTGTTTGATTAGGTTGCTGCCACTTGCGACATTTCGCGTCCATGCCCTTTGATCCTAATGATTTTACAGTCATCACCCCATCGGCAGTATCAAAGGTCATGCGTCCCTCTCACACTTTGCTCAGCAAAAAACAAAGGGGAAAAAAAGTAAAACAAAAAAGGAACATTGATTCACAAAGAGGTATTTCTTTACGTGGAATATATAATTATTAAGTTTTCGTGAACTCTGCGAACTGAATAAACACATTTTTGTTGAATTCAACGTGGACGAAGTCGCGGAGAGATAACAACTATTTAACATAAAACAAATGCATCGGAAAGTAATATTAACGTATTACACATCCAGATACAAATTATTTACATTATTTTAATGCGTTTATTATACAAAATTTGTAACGATGTGTTAATTTTGCTGAGCAGAAGGAAGGTGTTTTCAAAAATCGATCCATAAGAGAGTTACGGGGCATTATAAGTAAAAAAAAACTTTTTATCAGATATATCTACAGACTTAAAATTTAGCAAACATGGTTTTTTGTTCAGCTGAGATATGCAAAAAGTTATTGTTTTTTTTTTTGTTTAATTTACAATTCACGTAAAATTAACTCAATAAAAACTTCTTTATCCTTCAGTCTGTATTGCTTAAATTTTCAATTCACCCGTGCGAAGAACGGGTATACCAGCTAGTGTTTGGAGATATATTTTTTCAAATTTCCTACAAAGGATTGATTTATCTAATTGAAAACAAATGACTTCTCATCTTTTATTAGGTGAGCTATCAATGTTCGATGTTGCATTTGAAAATTTTATTGGATTTGGGTAAATACTGTATGTTGTAAAATGTCTACATATATCTTTTTTCGAAGAATAAAAAACTCAATATAACTAACCAATTATATGCCAAAACACCATTCTTCCTTCTTTTTTTCTTTCAAAAATAACATTAACATGATAACATGAATGACATATGTAAGGAAAAATTGTTTTCAAGTTTCTATGTGCATTGGTATAGAAAATATAGGCGGTCCCTCTATTGGGGCATTCGCCAAATACGCTATCAAAATGCACATTATTGGTAATGCAAGAAACTGTAATAAACACCAAGGGAAACAAAATAAATTGAGTTTGTGATATTTTCGTGTTTTTACGGTGTGCAGAACAAAGCAAAACACATATCATGGACACCAAACATTGCACCTATACCCTATCAAATTTCATAATATTATTGGTAGTGGAACAAAGTATAATAAACACCAGGAAAACGAAACTGTCTCTGATGTTATTGTTTTCTATGGTGCGTGGAACGAAAAATAAAACATCTCTTAGACACCAATAAAGCACTTATCGCAATACGTATCCCCAATGTTATTAGCAATGCAACAAATTGTAATAAACACTTGCGAGAAAACAAACAAAAAGAGAACACAAGTAAAGTGAAAAAAAAATTAAGTCAATTCCTACTTTGAATGGATGAATATCAGTGACAATTTAAGCTTATTACGGGCCCTATTGGCACTGGAGGATCGAAATTTATAAACAGAAAACATGGTTGTCCAGCTTATACGGGCCCCAGGGAGCCCGCCCCAAGCGCCCAATGGATAAACTGGCACTGATGAATGGAAAGTATTTTGTTAACGATTGAAAATTTGAATAAGAAATATATATATATATATATATATATATATATATATATATATATATATATATATATATATATTATATTTGTTTTGTGTGAATACAATTATCCAAGTAAATTCATTTTTAAATATATTTCTGTTATATTAACTCTATTTTTAATATAGATTATTAATTTATTTAAAGTATCTTATGATTAGTTTAATTTTAAAATATCTTATGTGCTTAGTTTAATTGCAAAATGACTATTTAGGTGGGGCCCCTGTTTTTCGCTTCTCGTGTTAACACTTCCGTTTTTACATCACTTAGCACGGGACTTTTGCATAAGTTGCCTGTTTGCGCACTTCTTTATGGGTTTCATTTTTACATGCGTTTTTACCCTAATTTTTTCTTAATATTCCTTTCCATGAGAGAAACGTTGTTCTCTTTTAATAATTTCATTTTACTTAACTGTAAAGTTTATCATCTGGTTTAATAATAGTCTAAACTTTTCAAAACGACTTTTTTCCCCTTAATGTCGTAAATTTCTGCTGTACGGGGAAGGTAGATCCATAAAAGAGTGCTAACCCTAAATCGCTGCCCTAATTCAGCGACAGCTCTAGAAATCATAATAGGTCTCCATTTTAGTACAAAGACTCTTTTCGTATCTACATTTGATATGTCTTTTGAACTCTAATGTATTTCTTCTTTGGCAATGTAGGTTATACATCTTTTTCATTTGGTATCTTTTATTTTATTGAACCATATATATATATATATATATATATATATATATATATATATATATATATATATATATTGGGAGAGAGTGAACTAATAGCAGGAATTGAAAAGAGAGCATGATTTGTCTGTATTGTTGTAACAATGCACACCAGTTACATTGTCACAACAATGGTGACGAATGTAAGTTGGCGTCGAAAATCGGTAATAAATTTACTTAAATTTATTTAGTTTAATTAATTCATTAATGTTTGAAAAAACTGTATTAGCATCGAGTGTCATCCACCACAAGTTTAAAAAAATTTATTTGAACTTGAATGGATGAATAGTAAGTATTTTATTAATGGTTGAAAATTTGAACAAGATGTATAAATATATATAGGCAGAGAGTGAACTAATAGTAGGAATTGAAAAAGGAAGAAAAAAAGAGCTGGTGATGCTATTGTGTTTCTATGTTGTGGGATGAAACAAAATACTTCTGTCTCATGCACACCAGCATAACACATATCACATACTTTTGTTGTTTTTTTCTTACAGTACGCACATCTCTTCCGTATTTTAACTGGCACGATGAAGTGATTTCCTAGATCAAGTCGTATATCTGTGCTAACCGTCCTCCCATCAGTTTGTTTCCTTGAGGTCCTCGACATTTGGGCGTTGATCCTGCTTTCTTCTAGATCAGGGGTGTCTAACCCGCGGCCCGAGGGCCGCATGTGACCCCCTCGAATAATTTTGCGGCCCGCGAGATTCTTTACAACTTTACAAAATTCGACTATTTTGTACAACATTTTTGTTTAAAGATTTTTTTTTTTTTTTTTTGTTATACTTCTTTTGGGGCGTTAGGGAAGAAGGATGAGGGTAAATTTTTACGATGCGCGCGCACACCGTCACGGATGCGAAAATGCTTTGTCAAGAAATACGCAGAGCGGGACAAATCATTCCCGCCTTCGAAATTCCCAGAAAAACATATATTTCTCTTCACTTCCCTGAAGAAAGGGGCACCCGGGTATGAACCGGGGACGGACCTCTCGATCTGCCGTCGAATGCTCTACCACAGAGCTATACTCCCGCGTGAGCGAACCTTTGCTTTGCGTTCCGTAGGAACGGATACGAAAATGCTTCATCTAGAAATATACAGAATGGGACAGATCATTCCCGCCTTCGAAATTCTGAAAAAAATAGTTTCGTTCACTTTCCAGAAGGGGGCTAACGGGTTTGAACCGGAGATCTCTCGATCTGCAGTCAAAAGCTCTACCCTTGAGCTATACACCGCGTCAGCAAACCATTGCTTTTCGTTCCGTAGGAACGGATATGAAAATGCTTTGTCTAGAAATATACAGAACGGGACAGATCATTCCCTCCTTCAAAATTCTCAAATATATATATATATATATTTGTGTGTGTGTGTGTGTGTGTGTGTGTTCACTTCCCTTAAGAAGGGGGCACTCAGGTTTGAACCGGGAATCTCTCGATCAGCAGCTGAATGCGCTACCACTGAGCTATTCCTTACAACCCTGCCCAGTTTCGAGTTGCTAGTTTGCTAGTTGCTAGTTTCCAGTTTTAAATGTTTTAATTTTTTAAAAAAATGACCATAACTCGGGGCTCTTCAGGCGGATGTCTTAATATTCTCAGGAACAATTCTACCCACCGAGACATTCAATATGAGGACCCAGGTGTCCCATTCGGTTCATTTCATTGCCAGGTACAGTTTGCCGAACCCCGTCCCATGTTATTGGTCCTATTTTCCCTGTGTGGGGGTGTGAAAATCGTGATTATCTCGGGTTTGGCTGGTCCGATTGACTGAAGGTTAGTATCGTTAAACTCTACTCGCGTGACGCGCTTTCGTTCTTGGCCCAGCTTACCCTGCTCAAGAATTTTAGAAATTCTTTAATCTTGTTACGCCAAAGTATAACTTCTTATGTACGTACATAAGTACACATACATTTTTTTTTTTTTATAAAAAATAAACCCCATAAATGTTATTTTATCACGTTGCTTCTGTTATTGCGAATTCTTTTCTTTTTTTTTCTAAATTGAAATTTATCAAACATAAATCGTGTGCTAAAACTTAACGCACAAAAATTTGCAACATCATTTACGATACACAAATACACATGGATTGAGATCGATTTGCAAAAACTAAGTGAAAAAGTTGAGAAACATCTCACTAATTAAATATATTAAACATTATTTGATTAATTCATTTCCAACAGTAAGCTAATTATTGAAAAAATTTGTTTAATGAATTTGTAACTTTTATAGTAGTCGGTACAGCATTTAGGCACAACAATCAAAACTAAAAGTTCTACTATGTAGGCAGAAATAAATAAATAAAAAAAAATTGCAAAAAAGGGACAATGGTAAATAATGTGTTAACTAGATATTTTTTTTACTCAACCTTTGACTACATTTGTATAGAAAATGATTTTAAAGCTCAAAAAAAAAAATCATGCATTTAGCGATTAACTCATGCTCAGCGAAACACAGAGATACAAACAATTAAACATTTAATTTCCGTGTCTGCAATGGCTTGTGTGTCAAAACACAGTCCATTTCAAAAAAAGAAAAAAAAATTATGCACTTTTGCCCACAATCCAGGAAAGAGATAAAATTGATTTTTGAAGCCATAACTGGTGGTAACTGCTCTGAATTTTTACTTTCATTTTTTCATTCGTTAAAAGCGTTAGGAGTTCCTCTTCTGCATTTGGTGATTTTGCTCTACCTGCATGCGCCAAAAGACCTAAAACCCAACTCGGTATTTTAATGTTTAAGTATCCTGGAATCTATCTGTAAAATCAGTATGAAAAACACCAAAGTACTGGAAATAATCAAATATTTCTGTTTAGTAGAGATAGCTGATAATGGTGAGTAAGTAGTTTTATTCACTTTTGTCTATATTACGTTTGAACAAGCATCTATAGTGTTTTCTATTTATTCAATTCAATTCGTCACCTCTTAAATTTTTTTCTTTAAATTGTCTCATTTTATAAGCAGATGTGTCGAGTGAGTGAGTGAATGAGTAAATATTAACTTTGCACTATTCAGCTACTCAAGGGCTTTGGGCGACAGACCTCGTAATTTTGAGCTATGGTCAAGCGATGAGGACGACACCTGAAATCTCTTTCGCACCCCCTCTCCTAATTTCACTTCACATCAACGGAAGGACGCTTGAGTTTCGACAGATTTGACGTACATCGGCGTGTCTTCAACGGTACTAGGGCTCGAACTCATGACGCGCCGTCCACGGTCAAGGTAACGGAATGTTACCTTGACCACTAGTCTAGCGCGGACACAGCAGATATGTCGAATACGTGATGTTGTTTTTGGATGTAATAAAGTTTTACAACAGTACTTTGTCTCTGTTTTCGTGTAAATCCAGTACAGAGTCAGATTGAGAAAAAAATTATTCCATTGAAATTACAAAAAATGCAATAGATTTCTGATAGTTCACTGTGAAAACAAACATCCAATTTAGAAAATATTTTTGTTCAATGTTAATCACAGACTGTACAATTGGTAATCATCCCTGATAAATAAAGACGAAGTATAAAGCTTTTGAACATTTTAAAAACAATATGAACCCCATTAAGGAACGGATTTTCTGCGCAATGTGCCCTACACGTTCTAATAAAAGGGTCCGCTAAAATGCTCTATTGGAAGAAAATAAAAGAGATACCGACCCTGCTCATGCATATTTGGGGTCACACACACACAGGACTCGATTTAACAGAGGTTGAAATTTCAGAGCTCAAACGCGCCCTCCACAGATCTCTCGTGACTTCAAGTGTTATGTCCGTTCACAGCACAGAGACAACTGAAACTGTAATTTGAACTATAACCAATCGACAAAGGATTTTGCCTCGCGTGGTTTTTGAAAAGTCGTGGTTAAAAATGTGGAACATTGTTACAGCTGTATAAGGACGTTTAATAAATGAATGCGACTAGCACCAAAACTTTCAACATTAATTTGCATTTTAAATTGTAAGAGCAACAAACACTGATAATGTTTGTCTTAAAATAATGTTTTTATTTCAAACATTTATGCTTAAATAAATCAGTTGTAAATAGCATTATAATATTCATCTATAGTGAAATATATAAAATTTCACTGAATTTTCGTTTCAAATTATAGTGAAATATATATATATATATATATATATATATATATATATATATATATATAAATTGACTTATTTAATAAAAATTAGTTAATAAAATCTTAGAATTTTGCTAAAAATGTTTTAGTAATAAAGCTGATTCCAAAATGGATTGATTCAATATTTTGGTTTTTCGTCGCTTTGCAAGTAATTCTAAGTACTAATGTAAGAACGTATTTTCCCTTTATCATTTTTTTTTTTTTTGCAAGTTTGATAAGTGATAACATCTACAGCTGCTTGTCGATAAACAATTCCATTGAATTTATGAAACAACCAACACATATTCGTAAACGTGTTTAAACTGAAGTCTACATTTTTACCTTTGTCACAAAAAACCGATTGGATAAAAAAGATAACGCTGAAAGAGAAAAAAAATTTATTTAGATAAAATTTTGATCATATTTATTTGAAATCCTACATTTCTTCGTTTCTTAGATAATTTATGGATGTTTAAGTTTTGAAAATAATGTGTATAAGTAAGGTGATTAAGTAACAACAAAAACTTAGTAGCGCAACAGCCCAAGACCTACTGAGCCCATCTCAGTTTTCATGACCTTGGGTACTGAGGTGCATGAGCAGATGTTCCGGACAGGTGGCCAGGCTGACCGAACCCTCCAGTATTTATTTTTCTCAAGCAAGTTTGGTACTTATTTATACATCAACTGAAAGGATGAGACGACTTTGCCAACCCTGAGGATTGAACACCGGACATACGGCACGTAAGCACGATTCTCTACCACTCACTCACTGAGCTTCAATTAATGGACACCTTACTATATATTACACATTACTTGCTACACAGCTGGCTTCACAAAATGCAACACCCTGAAGAAAGCAAGTAAATCTTGTGAAATTTGCATCAGTTGGCGGCGATGAAATATGCAAATTCATTAGCATTATAGCACAAGCGCTATACAAGGGGAGAACAGATTGGCGATTTGTAGTAAGACAATTGTTATTTCGTGCGGTTTTTTTGCGTAAGCTGTTTACCTATGCCTCGTGGAAGATATCGAGCGCTTTTTACCACATTTCTGATTTCGACCGAGGAAGATTAGTAGCCCATAGGTATTGCGGATTATCCTTCAGAGAAATCGGTCAACGAGCTGGACGAAACCAAGCAACTATGATACGGATCTATCATTGCAAGATGCAAGAGGAAACGACGGGGCTGATCGCACTCACCTCTTTGCACTACTGCCTGTGGTGACTGGCGTGGCGATTGTGCGCACGACAGTGATGGATCACGCTCTGATACAAAATTAGAGAGTATAGTTAAAAATGGTTTTGTTATACATCAGGTTTTATTATATACTAACACAAAAGATTCAGTCTGTTACGCATCATTCGGTGTCCGCGCTGACCAATCCACACCGTTTGCAGCAGAGCGGAATGTCCGCAAGTCGTCAATTGTTTCGTTTCCCTTGACTGGAAATCACAGGTGTTTGAGCCGCCAATGGTGTGATGAACGTCAGACATGGACAACGGCATGGAACGACGCTATATTTACTGACGAATCCTGCTTCTGCCTGCAACATCACGATGGACGGATTCCAGTTTGAAGACACCTTGGTGAGAGGCTGCTGAACTGTTGCGTTATGCATCCCCACACTGGTCCTGCTCCGGGTATCATATTTCGGGGTGGTACTGGAATTCACTGCCGCATTTCTCTATTACGCACTGCCGGTACTGAACAGTTAGCGCTAGGCACGGGTTATTTGTTGGAGCCTGTGATCCTCCCATACATTCAGTGCTTGCCATCAGCCATATTCCGACAGGATAATGCACACCACACGTGGCACGCAATGTCCATCAGATTGCATTGCTTTCTTGGACTGCTTGTTCTCCCGATCTCATGCCAATCGAAAACATGTGGTCCATGCTTGCACAATGACTGTCCCGGGATACATCATCC